GTCTCATTTAGTCCTTGCCTTGCTGGAGTCCGTATTTTGTTTTATCTCTGCATAGTTCATGACAAGTATTTGTTTTGATGTCTGATGCAGACCTGACAAGAAACGTCACACTGAAGATGATGATTATTCAATTTTTATACACCTCTAGTTTCATAGCACTGTAACTAAATTAGCTATATTTGTCTAGCTGCATTCCTACATTAATAGGTATAGAAATAGTTCTTTATCTGTGGCTTACTCCACTGCTCTTGGAGTTCTGACATTAAACCGTATTGCTCTCTTGTAGTAACTAGAGAGAGGTCAGATTCAGTGTTTGTTATTCCAGTGTATTATCATGCTAATTCCAGCAAAATTGCCTCTTATAGATACATGCTATTTTTCTGTGCTTTCCTGATCTTTCTCCTGCTGCACCTTTTGGGTAATGAATTGGTATTGACAATTATTTTCTGAGGCATTTTTGCCATTCTGTTGATGTAGAAAGGACCGTTGGAAAAAAATTGGTGAGGATGGATCACTAACAACACTTGGGGTAGAGGAGAATAGGAGGAGTAAAGTTGAGCAAGATGGTCAAGCAGAAGGAAAAGAGAAATGAAGGAAAACATATAAAGATTAAAAGCATGAGATAAGGTAAATTACAGTGTCTGGTAGGAAGTGGACTTGGTGACTTCTGCAATTTACTTTTATAGCCAAGTACCCAAAAAGTACTTTATTTTTATATTTATTAATATGCATGTTTGGGAAGTAGAACATTTTGCCTGAGTAACTAGTCAAGATCCAAACCCCCTCCATTACAGCTACAAATACTCGTAATCCAAATGTAGCTGTAGATCACAAACCTCCGTTATTTTAACTATGTGTTGCTGTCATTAAATCACACAATACTAAACTAAGATACTCATTATGAATGTATGATACTGTTACGAATGAATGTGTGCCCAAATCAATTACCCATAAAAGATGCAACTCAGTGATTAGGGATGCTAGTGTAAATTGTTACACTTTCCAAATACAGTCATTTGGTGGGGTAAAAAAAAAAAAAATAGAGCTATAAATTTATAAATTCTTTTGATAATTTAAGTGGAGCAGAAATATAGTCATAGTATTTCTGTGCAACACTGTGAGATATGTTTACTTTCAGGTGCTG